CCAAGTTGCGAAAACAAGGTCAAACAACTTCTATACAATGGAAGGAGACTTCGACCACAAAAAAAGACCACACCATCTTGGTCTTCATACTTTCAAATAATTTACGCAAATTTACCAAAACACCAAATTCACAAAGTGTTCTGGTAAACTTTCGTAGAAGATGCTTCCTCGCTCTGGAGATGCTTACAATATGACAGACGAAAGTTTGCCACAGATTCATCTGGGTTGCAGTAATGAGAAACCAAAATATTACATGAATACCAGTTTTATCGAAGAATGCTCAATAAAGCAACTCCTTTTGGGAGGCTCTCATTTCATATGCAAGTGCATGATGAAAGATTCGAAGGTCGATCTCACCAGAAGACGAAGGCTGATTCCAGTTGTACGATGATCAGGTTGACAGTGCACGAGGCACACTCCCTCATTTCGGGTGAAAACGGACTGAGCTTTCATGCATCATAAAGTGGACATCTTCAGAGCTGAAACTCATTCTAGCAAAAGTCTTGAGTTAAATCTGTCTTGTTGACTAAGTTTTAAAGTAAGACTTTTGCGAAAATAATTTACAGCCCATATAATGTCCATCATATGAAGTTATGAAGACCAAGATGGTGTGGCCTCTGCTATGGTCTCAGTATCCTTTCGATTTATAGAAGTAAGTTGACCTCGTTGTTTCAACTTGGTCTTGTTGTCAAGGTGACTTAGTAGAACGCACCTAGTCCAAAGACGTCTGCCATAGTAGTTTTCATGATTCCCAGCCTCTGACAGTGGACTCGGTACATTCTCATAGGTTTCGCTGGCATCATAGTCGGCGTCATCAGTCAGATTGGCCATTCTCAGCACCAAGCTACGAACTCGTCAAAGAGACAAGAGGAGTGATAGTGTAACCGTTTTCGGCAGAACGTTTGTCGAGGGATTGACTTCACTTGTCTCTTTTGACGAGTTCGTAACTTGTTGCGGAGAATGGCAAAACGGACTGATGATGCCGGCGAAACGTTTGAGAATGTACCAAGTCCACTGTCTCATGCTGGAAATCATGACAACTACTATGATATACAACTTTGGATTAAGTGCATTCTACTAAGTCGCCTTGACAACAAGACCAAGTTGCGACAACGAGGTCCATTACATGATTGACAAAAATTCATCCCGTTTTCAGCCTAAACGAGGTAGAATGTCGTTTAGACTACGTCAACCTGAATGTTGTATTAACGCAAAGCGGCTGTCGTACAAGGGGAATCAGCTGTCGTCTTCTGGTGAGATGGAAATTCGAATCTCTTCTTTATGCAGCTTTATACGAAATAAAAGTCTCTCCAACAGTGTTATGTTGGGCAATTCCTCAAAATCAAATTGCTCTTCGTATCTACAAAGCTATATCTGCCCTATGACCCAACGACGCCAGGGCTGGGTTGGCGAGAGGTAAAATGCTGCTGCGTGAGTCGCAGGATTCTGTCTCAGGTAACGATGAGAGTGCTGATGAGACTTGCACTTCGACTCGGATGAGCAAGCTTCGCGGGAGGCTAGCTTGAGCAAAATTCAATGGCAGTGGAGATCTTAACTACTCCGTCTTCCATCACTTGAAACAGCCAAGGCTATCATAGTTCGTATAAAAGACTAAGTGACAGCATGAAAGACTGTCAACTCTACAAACATGAGAGTAACCATTGCATTTGTGACTTCTCGCGCTGTCCTAATGTTGACTATTTACGTTCACAAAACAATTTTATGCTTTATTATGTAGGGATTAGTTTAGGTTTCCCAAAATATTTCTGACTGACTTTGTGTTTTCACGAGCAAACACATAAAGCTTAAATATATGACAGTAACTAGTCAAATCATTCTAAACCTTACACTGATTCATGTGGCTGCAGTGACTTTTTCTGATTTGTTAATGCTAATTAGTTGCAATAATGGTATCCTGTTCTGTTGATGTCTATCAGGTGGCATATGACAAAGAAGTGGGTATCGAAGATTAAGACTGGCACACCTTCCATTTCGTTTGCCAAGCAGGGTGGAAGAATCCCTAAAAGATGGATATTGGCGTATCTGTCACTTTAGTTTGGGGATGCGGGTGAAAGGCAGCTGTAAATTGACCTCAGCGGAAGCCAAAGGAAGAGCTTTTATTTTATTCCTCGGCGCATGGATTCTTCAGGGTCGCTAGACGATGCGAAGGGCACTTTATTTGCAGAAATCTACATTCACGGCTCCAATTTACTAATCATTTTCACGCGCCTCTAAACTAAATTGGGATTTAGCCTTTCTGCCAGCGAAATGCGTTAATCAGAGTGCTAAAAAGGGAGGATCAAGAGGAATGCACCATCGACTTCCGATGCGATCAACCAACGAACACCAACAAAATCCAACCGCTTTCAAAGCGGGGCAAAAGGTAGGATAATACAAAGCCGATCCCTGAAATGGGACCAAGAAATGGGGTCTTTATGAGACCTATATCCCTGCCTCGAAAGGTCGCCACGTTGGTACAAACACATTTATTCACAACGCAATAATTGCATGTGACCAACTACTGATAAAATGGCAAAGCTCTTCAGTAGATCCCATCCCAAGTGAGCATGCAAAGCTGTCGTCTGTGGTGAAATGGATCTACTGACGCGTGAGGCAAGTGTGCAACAACCAATTAGTGGGAAAGTGATCATTAGCTCCGGTTTGGGGCGGGCCAGACGCGAAATTCGACTCTTTTCGGTGAGCAGATCCTCATCTCACTGAGAGCACATTGGCTCTATCGGTAAACAGGCCAAGACGATGGAGACCACAACTTTGCTTCTCGAAGCCATGTTTATTCAGGCATCTTATCCAAGCATTTCCTTCGAAAGGGAGATGGTCCGAGATTGCCATAAACCGGTGGCATCGGTTTGCTTAGAAGTTTCGTCATGTGCACAAGACGAAGTCTAGTCTACTGCTCCAGAGAGGGGCAGTGGACTTCAGAAAAATAAATAGATAGAATTTCAACCATGTATCCACATCACCTTATACAAATATGTGTCTATACTAATGTGTGGGTACAGACGTGTAGACGGCTTAGGGCTACACACAAAACCCACGTTTGGGTAGATGCAGGCAGTGAGTGTGGGTCTGATTACATCGGCCAAGAACAATAGGCAAGTGGAAATGATCAGTCGGCATGCGGACAAACATAAGTCGAAGAGCTGTGTTAAAAAGAACAAGTGCCGGCTGAAATTTGAGACCATTGTGGAGGCCGACTGAGCCGACCCAATTGGCCTGCTGAAGGTGGATGAGGTTGGTGAAAGAGAGAGTATCCTGGCCAAATGGAAATGTGGTCGTTAGGGGGAGATTAATGACAAACTGAAAACGAAAGGCTGGTCAAGAGGCCGGCGGGTAAGGTGATTAGGATTTAGCAAAGGCATTGGAAGAAGAGTGTAGAGTGAAGGGTGGGAGTTGGAGAGAAATTGGACGCAAATGACGGACCCCTCGACTATTACATCTGGTATTGCAGGCCAGCTGTTGTGTAGAAGCACTTCCATCTGAAGTCGACTCATTTTCAGAAATTGACTATTTATACAAATGATTTTGGGGAAAACCGAGAAACCTCAGTTCGTGAACATATCAGAGTCGAGTTCATGTTATTCCTTTGTCATACATGAAGCCATCTCAAAAATTTGTTGACATTTTGTACGAAAATTATCAACAATAAATTGAAGATATGAAGACCAAGATGTTGTGGCCTCTGGTATGGTCGCAGTCTCCTTTCGATTTATAGAAGTGGGTTAACCTCGTTGTCGCGACTTGGTCTTGTTGTCAGGGCGATTTAGTAGAACGCACCTAGTCCGAAGTCGTCTTCCATAATAGTTGTCATGATTCCCAGCATCAAACAGTGGACTTGGTACATTCTCAAATCTTTCGCCGGCATCGTAGTCGGCATCATCAGTCAGTTTTGCCATTCTCCGCACCAAGTGAAGTCAATCCCTCGACAAACGTTCTGCCGAAAACGGTTACACTATCACTCATCTTGTCTATTTGACGAATTCGTAGCTTGGTGTGGAGAATGGCAAAACTCACTGATGATGCCGACTATGATGCCGGCAAAACGTTTGAGAATGTACCAAGTCCACTGTCTGATGCTGGGTATCATGACAGCTACTATGGCAGACGAATTCGGACTAGGTGCGTTCTACTTAGTCGGCCTGACAACAAGACCAAGTTGCGACATCGAGGTCAACCCACTTCTATCAACAACAAAAATTATCAAGGATCCAATAAGGTGCATATGTGCAAAAAATAATCAGCAAATCTCATGGACAATATCGAGGCAATGTGCGAAGAAGCTCTAAAAACAGAAGCATTTTGCATTGTTTCCTCGGCCAGAATTAAAGTAAAGGCGAGACAAATCAATTCCAGTAAGAGAACATTTTCGTCAAAAACCAAGTCTAGAATGAACAGAATCATGATTAGATACAGAGAGTAGCTGGGTTTGGAAAAATCTCTGAATATACCATTGTTGTGAAGAATTTCATTTTATATGAAAGTGCAAAAAGGAGAAATTCGTGGGTTGATCTCAGCTATGACTCCTGCAAGTCTCCACTAGTCGGCAAGCGAGTCTACTTAT